TAGCCTGTTAACTAGTGAAGGGAAGAGTCCTTGACTGGCTGCTCAGGCTCTCCTCTCTGTTTTCGCCCCACATGCCCCAGCAAGCATGTAGAAAGAGAGGCCGTATTTCTCCCTCATTAGCTTCTCTTCATTGGTTTCCCGTCAAATTCAGAATTGAATTTAAAGTCCTTCTCCTCACATACAGAGTCTTGAATAATCAGGTCCTGCTATATCTTAAAGACCTCATAGTACCTTACTAACCTAACAGAGCACTTCACTCTCAGACTTCAGGCTTACTTGTGGCTCCTAGAGTTTCTAAAAGTAGAAGGCGAGGCAGAGCCTTTAGCTATCAGCCCCTCTACAGTGGAACTAACCCTCTCTACTTTTAAGATTAGGCTTAAAACTTTCCTTTCTGATAAAGCTTACAGTTAGTGCTGGATCAGGTGACCCTGAACCCTCACTTAGTTACACTGCAATGTGCCTTGGCTGCTGGGGGCTTCCCATGATGAGTGTGTCTTCTTCATGTGTTCATAAACCATTTGCATTTAATCTCTGGCTCTCGTCCAGGGTGTGTCTTTGTCCTGTCTCCCTCCCCTCACCCTCAGTCTGTCACAGCAGATGGCTGCCCCACGCTGAGCTTGGTTCTGCCAGATGTTCTTCCTGTTAAAGGGGAGTTTTTCCTACTACTGTGCAAACCCTGAAATATTTGGGTCTACTTATGTCTTTAACCACTGCAGTTTCCAAATGGGCCATTAGTTAGTTTAAGATCTATTCAGGTTCACAGCATTTCAAGCTAAGTGTGCAAAAAATGCAAAAGATTGAAAATTAATAATAAAAAAAGATGCCTTGGATCTTTTGGAGTTGCATATATGGCGACTGGATGAACATGATTTCGTCTAAGCAAGACTTTGATAGTTAGAAAGAAAAACATCTGTCAATTTTAACTCTTCAGATTTATTTGTGTAGCACTTTTCAAAACCAATGTTACAAATGTTTCCCAGAAACAGTGAATAAAATAACAAATTGAAGGCAAATTATGTCCACATAGTCCACAATCAGCTGTTTGTGTCCTCTTCCAGTGGGAGTGTACGTGGTTCGTCATCCTGTGCAGCTCCTTTCTTCTGCTTCTCTTTTGGGGTTACTTCTGGTTGATGGCTCGAAATGATTTTAATGACTTCAATTGGTGAGTCGTTTTTTTTTTCATTATATTACTTTGGCTGAAAAGCTGTTTAAGACTTGCATGTTTGATAATGGTTGATCAAGGACAGCAGAGTGGTGACCTTACCACAGTGGGGTGGCAGCAAGCCCCTTCAGCATGTGTATTTTAAATAAATACCACGAACAAATATGTTGATGCATGCAGGTAAGTAAATCCCACAGTCTTTCAGTGATGAGGAGTGTCCACGTGGACCCTCTTTCAAGGATGAGGATGTACACATCCTGGACAGGGAGCGTCATGAGTGTCACGATGTCATGTGCAATTAAGGCAAATTACTGTATTTGACAAAACTGAATTAGTCATACCACCAACATTCGTTCTGTTCATTCCAGGCTGGTGTACAACCGTTCTGGAGAATGGAGAGATGAGACAATGCCCATCCTCGCTTCCACCACTGTGGGATTCAGCTACGTCACATTCTTACTGGTAACACTCGCAAATGTTAGCAGACTTGTTCATTGATCAGTTAAGACATACAACTTAATGAATCTTACTCATTTTTCAGATCTTAGCACTTTTCCACATATCTTTGGGCCAGCAGCTGAATCTCTACTGGGTTCACAAGGTACGGTGTGAAAAAACAATCCTGCCATTGATTCGCTCCTCTGATGCTTTCAAAGCAAAGTCAGGTTCATCGAGGTGTCTGTTCTCCACAGATGGGGGTGCTGGCTACACTGCTCACCACCATCTCTGGTGTCATTTTTGTCGATGACTTATGGGGAGACGAGTGGGACATTCTGCTTGCGTCACTGCAGGTTCGTCTACAGTTAACAACACTGTACTAAAAGTTGATTATTCTCTATTTTTCCGATCCAGTTGGCTAAAGTTATATATTTAATGCTCCATGAAAATAATTCAGTTGTACAAAAAACCGAGTTGAACTGCTTCAGCATATATTATTTGGTCTGCATTTTCAAAAACATTATCGCAAAAGAAGAATTTCCAAATAAAAAATCTCTGCACTGGATTCATGTTTCAAGCTCTGCCAGGTCTACAGGCAAGTGGTGTTAGGGTGAGGTGGGTCAAATATGGCCAAATATGCAAATATGCTCAAATAATTCTATGCAGTTTTCTGGATCAGATAGATAACTTTCATTACAAAAATATAAACATGTAGGTTTCATAAACATCTTCTCAATTGTTCTCTGATCGGTGACTTTGAGGCACTGATATGATGTCAAGTGTGTTACAGATGTCCTGTCCAAGTGTTTAGAATCCATATCAACTCCTCCCCTACTATTTGTTATTTAGTTAGTCCCCCTGAGCCTGGTTCTGTCGGAGGTTTCTTTCCTGTTAAAAGGGAGTTTTTCCTTCCCACTGTTGCCAAGTGTTTGC